CAAAGTGGTTTGTGACAACGGAACAAATTTGTTAGCGGCATTAAAGTTGGGCAAGTTGTCACATGTGCCGTGCATGGCACATGTTTGTAATCTGATCGTACAACGCTTTGTGCATAAGTACATAGGCTTACAGGACGTCCTGAAGCAGGCCAGGAAGGTGTGTGGCCATTTCAGGCGTTCCTACACGGCCATGGCTCACTTTGCCGATATCCAGCGGCTAAACAACATGCCAGTGAGGCGCTTGATTTGCGACAGCCCGACACGTTGGAATTCAACACTCCTAATGTTCGACCGCCTGCTCCAACAAGAAAAAGCTGTTAATAAATATTTGTATGACCGGGGTGCTAGGACAGCCTCTGGGGAGCTGGGAATTTTTTTGCCATGTTACTGGACGCTCATGCGCAATGCCTGTAGGCTCATGCGTCCTTTTGAGGAGGTGACAAATTTAGTCAGTCGCATCAAGGCACCATCAGCGCATATCATACCATTTGTTTTCCTGAGCAAGTGCTCCCTGCTAAGAGTGCTGGATCAGGCCGTAGGGATGAGCCGTGTGAAGAGAAGAGAAGAGCCAGGGTCACCATCACCTAGAAACAGCCTCCTTTATCAGCATTGCTTGCTGGACCTGCGGCAACGCTGGAAGAGGATTGTGAGGAAGAGGAGTCAGAGGAGGAATGTGGCTTTGAGGAGGAGGAGGAAGACCAACCACAACAGGCATCCCAGGGTGCTCGTTGTCACCCATCTGGTACCCGTGGTGTTGTACGTGGCTGGGGGGAAGAACATACCTTCAGTGAGATCACGGAGGACGAGGAACAGGACATGAGTAGCTCGGCATCCAACCTTGTGCAAATGGGGTCTTTCATGCTGTCGTGCCTGTTGAGGGACCCTCGTATAAAAAGGCTGAAGGAGAACGACTTGTACTGGGTGTCCACGCTACTAGACCCCCGGTATAAGCAGAAAGTGGTGGAAATGTTACCGAATTACAATAAGTATGAAAGGATGCAGCATTTGCAAAATAAATTGAAAAGTATGCTTTACACAGCGTATAAGGGTGATGTCACAGCACAACGGGAATCTAACAGGGGGAGAGGTGGAAGTCATCCTCCTCCTCCCATGACCACGCCGGCAAGGACAGGACGCTTTAGAGACGTGTTGTTGATGGAGGACATGCGACCTTTTTAAGTCCTACGCATCGCCACAGCCCTTCGGGATCCACCCTCAGAGAGCGACTCGACCGACAGGTAGCAGACTACCTCGCCTTAACTGCAGATATCGACACTCTGAGGAGCGATGAACCCCTTCACTACTGGGTGTGCAGGCTTGACCTGTGGCCTGAGCTATCCCAATTTGCGATAGAACCTCTGGCCTGCCCCGCTGCAAGTGTCCTGTCAGAAAGGACCTTCAGTGCAGCAGGAGGTATTGTCACTGAGAAGAGAAGTCGCCTAGGTCAAAAAAGTCTAGATTACCTCACCTTTATTAAGATGAATGAGGGATGGATCCCTAAGGGACTGACACTGGGCGATACATTCGATTAAAAAAGGCCTGATGAGATGAGCTGCCTTTGGCTAAAAATGGTCCACACGCTGCTGTATTTTAGCTCTGAATGCCGGTTGACTTGCGTGACTTATCCGCCACCAACTAGGGTTCAAGCCATGTTTTAGGGCACTTTCTGCCTGTGAAACAAACATCAATTATAGATTGAATAGCAGTTAGTTGTCTCAAAGCGGGTGTGTCAGGCTCACAGTGGATATTGTGCCCAGTGCCACCACTCACTCACTGGTGTCACAATAGCTTGGATTTAAAAACAAATTATTTTTTTCACTGTTATAGATTGAATAGCAGTTAGTTATCTTCAAGCAGGTGTGTCAGCCCTACAGCGTGTACTTTGCCAGTACGCTGCCACCTCCTCTACTCCTCCTACTCCATCCTCTTCCATAACCTCCTCGGCTTAGTCCTCTGCTGCTGCTGCGTCTTGCTCCACATCAACGGATAGGGGGCGTAACAGTGATTAAACTGATAACAATAGTACTAAACACACCACTCACTCACTGGTGTCACATTAGATTGCACTCA